TTTCGGTTTGTTCGGTATCTAGGAGATTATGCAATGTTCTGAGGGTTTAAGCAATTGGCATATCATTTGCAAATAGGAGCATCTGAAGTACTCACTATCAATAGGGGATCTTTCTTTCCTTTGTGCTCTATATTGGACATCCTCCACAACTGTGGCAAAGATACTTTAGCAAGTTTATATGTCTCTGTTTTATGTACCAGGTGACATTAATCATCTAAAGGTCATTTATGATCTGGTACAGAGTGAGGTGAGCAGAATCAGGAGAAGTAGAGTTACTAAGTCTTTCACAATTGGTTATCTTTACAATATTGTTGTTACTACGTACACTACTGTGTACATTATGAAAGACTTAGGAACTGATTCATACAACGATCCAGCACAACCTCTAAGGGCTCATGATTAAAAAGGTGATCTACTTCCTGATAGAGAATCGATAGACTCAGAGTGCAGACTGAACCGTATTTTTTTTCGTTCTTTTTTTTCCAGAACATAACTAATGAGGAACTATGTTTTACATAACTTCGTATGTAAAATGGATATTCCAATTCTTGCCTTATTAATGGGCAGGGGAGGGGGGAGAGTGAAGGGGAGAATTTGGAACTAAAAATAAAAATAAATTTGAATTTGCGTACGTATCAAAGAATCCTGTATGATTTTGACATTGACATGGGAGATATCTTGTGCTTCCACTGCTGCTGACTGATGCAGCTTCACCTGATGAGTTGAACGGTTATTTGGAATACTTAGTTCCCGGATCAGTAGGGTGTGGTCCCTCAGGAAAAGAATGACAGGCTCCTTTGTTAAACACCAGAGAGGGTGTATCTCCAAAGAGAGTAGATTACACAAAGACTGCTCTAGAATAATTCTGTGTATATCAAGTTGGTGGATGCTCCAGTGGGTGAATTTCTATATGAAGAGGAGGAAAATTTCTATATGAGAAGGGAATAATCCTCGGCAAGAGGGAAGTCTTTGGTTTCTTATTCTTAAAGCTGTGACTTTTGCAGGAAAGATCTTTAATTCCTATCTAGACAAGGAAAGAGACTCTCAGTGAGAGGAGTCTAATACCAAATATTTTGTTGTTCAGTCGTATCCAACTCTTTTTGACCCCATTTGGGGTTTTCTTGGCAAAGATACTGGATCAGTTTTCCATTTCCTTCTCCAATTCATTTTACAGATGGGGAAACTGAGGCAAACAGGGTTAAGCGACTTGCTCAGGGTCATACAACTAGTAAGTGTCTGATGCCACATTTAAACTCAGGACCTCCAAACTCCATGCCTGGTGCTCTATCCACTGCACCACCTAGCTGTCCAATACCAAATGTACCCAGGGAGATAAATGGCCTGGTGAAGATATGCTGGGAGGACATCCAAGGGTAAATGGGGACAATATCTATGCAAAGGAGACTAGCGGAGCTTTGAGGGGGAGGGTTAATAAGCAGCCATTGCAGAGGACATTGGACAGAGTATACAGAAGAATTGCTCACTAGATACCAAGGACAACAGGTGACAGCCAAAAGCAGGGAACAATAAGCCTGCCACAGAAGGGAGCCCACAAAGACTCCTAGCAGTTGAGAGTAAACTCTTTGTGTTGATTTGCAGAATTCACCAGAATGACAGGACTTGAGCTGGGGGTCTAAGTGACCATGAGGCACACTTAGCCTGGGGCCTTGCTTATGAGACAACTCTATTACCAATCACTTACCATAGAATAGATGATTCTTTGATTCTTATTTTCTCTTAATTAAAACTTTCTTTAGCTATATCATGGCCTGTGTGCTTGCAAACAGCCTATTGCATAATCCAGTCAAGACATTTTCTGCTGGTTTTTGGGAGACTTAAGCCAAGAGAAGGGTGAGACGCCTCAAAAATAACCTAGGCCCTTCTTGCTATGGGTGCCTCAAACAACAAATGCAGAGATTTAGAGTTGTATCTTTGCTTTTATGATGTATTTGGTGATTTACTTGAAATCAGTTTCTTAGGAATTCAACCTACAAGTGTAACTTTGTTCCTATGGTAAAATACCATCTGTCTTATAACTAAATTTCCAGGAATTCAATATGGCAAAAAACAAGGACTATATTCAGTTAGGTTCAGGCTGCTGACATAAAAGAATTTTTGTTAGTGCTGTGATAAAATAAATTAAAATGCTTTCAGTTTTGTTTTATTTGAATACTTAAAATTGAAAAACCTTCTCTTTGTATCTTGAAAACAATTGTTAGGAGGAAACTAGAAAAATTACTATAAATCAGTAAATAAAGGTCTTGTATATGTGGAGAGACATAGGAGGATGGGTGTCTGCTGGCAGATCTAAATTACCCTCTGTCTAGCTAATGGAGCCTCTAAGGGCTGTGGCTGTGTCTGAAAGAGACGTCTTCTACTTTCTCATGCTAAAGGAGAAAGGAGAGCTGAAACCTCAGGAGAGGCTTGAAGAGTTCTGGCAAAATTATACTAGGAAGCTTCAGCACCAGGGCAATGTGATGGTGTGAGGAGGCAGGGGCTGCTGCCCATTCCTGTCATGACCTCCTCTCTACCAGAGAGGCTTCAGCACTGTTATGACAAAAAGCAGGAGGCTGGGCCGGCTTCCTGCCCCTGACACAGTCTCTGTGATTAAGCAGCTTACACCATAAAATTAAAAGGGGCTAGGAGTAAAAAAATGCTACTCATGTGTCACTTGGCTGACTATAAGCCAGATAGCAACTTCTGTGCTCATGATGGTATAGAGACAGACAAAACTTTCATCCTCTCTGCTTCTTCCTCCTATCATCTCTAGGGAGAGATATATCTGTTTTTATTAATCCTTGTTCATTAAAGTCTGTTGGCTTTCTGTTTTACCACTTCCTTTAAAAGAAACTGGCTTTTAAAACCATATGGTTGTTATTATTGCACTGATTTATGCGTGTCCTTGGTGGGAGGAGTGCGAATAGGTGGCCACCTATCTAGGAAGAGAGTTAGATTTTTCATAACTGCTGGGAATATTTCCAGCATAGGGGCTTAGAGACAGGCTGAAAAGATATTTTATTGATTCATATTTTATAACTTCCCAAATATAAAGAACAGCTGAATAGAGGCAGACCAAAAGAAACTCAGGTACAACTGAGCTTCATAGTGGACCTTATGGAGGAAGGGCTGGATTCACCTTTACTGAGACCAGTGGCTTTAGGTACTATCAGTTTCTTGTTCTTCCTGTGCAGGTTTAAGAAACTTGTTCCCCCCAAGGGATGGAGCTAAGGGTTTCCCCTAAAGAGAACACCGTGCTTGGGAGAGGAGCTGGGAACGTGGAGCACTGCCCACTCTAAGGTGGAAATCATACAAGTGGAAATAGCTAACTCCCCTGCAAACTCTTCACCTTCTACCCCACACACTACCAGATGCACATAATCCCACTATTAAAAAGTATTAGATTTATAAAATGCCAAATACAAGATGAGAGGAATACAAATTAGAGTTTAATGATCCTAGGAGTAATAAGAAATTGTAACAGAGAAAGACTATTGCTTCATAAACAAGGAAACTGGAAGCTGAGAGAGAAACTATTAAAATTGTCAGGCTTGCCTTGATTCCTTGCCCCTGCACTCATATCAGCCGGATGTTTTTACCTACAAGGATTAGTACATGCCCCCTTGGAATATCTAGAATTGGGAAGGAAGCTGTTTCCATGATTAGATCCCAGTGAAATTGATGTATGTTGCCCATCCTGCTTCCTATGACCCTGACTCCTTAACTTGACCACAGAACACTTTGGGCTTAAGTTATATTGATAGAACATATAAATGTATTTTTCAGTTTTTTTTTCAGACATACATATAATTTCACATTTGACATTTTGGAAGAAAAACAGTAATATTACAATAGTCATATAGAATCCCTAATTTGAGATCTGTAGAACAAAAGAGTTTTACAGAATATCATTTGGAAAACTCCACAGAGAAGAGGATAAATAACTAGGAAAGACAAATATAAATATTAAATACTTTCTACTTTGTTGTACCAATTTGTTTTAAAGTTTATCATACTACAAAATTTTGAGTTTATACATTAGTTACTTGAGCTTTAGCTATCTTAGACAATTTCTTCCTTTCTGGTTGCCAAGTATGTGGACTATTTTGAGCTATTCTCAAGAGTCATATGGAATAAGGGGCAATTTGCCCCCCTGAGAAGCCAGGAGGTTAAGTCTTAACTTGACTCACATGAGGTGAGCTTTTGAATGGATGCCAGGCTGCCTTTCAAATGAGTACCCCAAAATGAATGTGCCCAGGTTTGGAAATGATCTTGTAAATTTGAAAGGCCAGGAGACTCTGGTCCCATCAGTTGTAGCTAGCTGGTGGCAAGGGAAGATTCCACATCTGAGAGGTTGTCCTCTAACAAGAGGATTGGCTCTTTTATAAAGAGTTGTAAGGACAGTGCCAAGCAGAGGTGAAAAAGAATATACCTGATTAGCAATACTGACTACTCTACGTTCTGATGAGGTTTAAATATCAGCTTTGCAGAAAATTATAACAGTAGTTCTAAGTTGTTATTGATTTTCATTTTAATCATTCTGTTAATGAGAAATGAGATTATTATGTATAGGAATAAATTATCTCTCCCCTATATGATTAATATTGCATATTAAGTATTTCTGGTTTTGGGAAGACCTACATACAAGTTATCTAACTCTTAAGTAATTTCCCCCAGCCCACCTGATTAGGGCATTTAATAAGCCAAAGAGTATGAGAAAAGGAAGTCTAATGTCTATAATTAGAGGAAGGTTCCTCCTAGGATTGAACCTGATCTAAACCATATGCTCACGTTCAGGATAGGGCATGGTATAGTAACATCCTGCAAATAAGTGTCATTTATTCTACTTTACATTAGTTTCAGAAGTAAGATTAAATCCCCTGTCCAAAATTCTGGAAAATGAATAAAGCACATACTGATTTCTCTGTGACATTATGTGTAGCTTTCTTAATTTTCTTAATAAAGTAGGTGAATAATACATATCCTTCAGATATGTGACTTACCTGAGGTTGAGAAGGGCTGGCAGTGAAATGAAAGGCAACATTTGTCCTGAGAAACAGAACAGGGAAAGGGAGAAGGAAAGGAACATAAGTAAGTAGGGCTGTATTTACTTATGTAAAAGACAATCTTTTAAACTATAACAACAAAAAATAAAGCATCACTTTTTGGTGTTTATACATGGATCATTTTGCCCTAGTTGTTCCAGTTCTCCAGAACATATGGGCAGGAGTCAGATAAGACAGCATTCTTATGTCCTTTAAAGTATCCAGGGAATAATACATAATAAAATAATGCAGTGGATAGAGTATTAGGTCTGGAGTCAGGAAGGCCTGAATTCAAATGTAATTGCACTCACTAGCTACAAGACACTGGGAAAGTCACTTTACCTCTGTCTGCCTCAGTTTCCTTAGCTGTAAAATGGAGATAATAATAGCACCAATCTTGTAGGGTTGTAGCATAGATCTAATGAGATAATTGTGAAAAGCACTCAGTACAATGCATGACACATAGTAGAAATTTAATTAATGCTTATTCCCTTCCTATGTAAATCATAACAATGATCTCTATTACATGTACAGCCCTAAGGCTTCCCATCACTTTTGCCTTAGGATTCTCTGGCAATAAAGGTGGAATATCTTGATATCCTTCCCCTCCCCCCAAATCTGAGAAATGGTTAGTTTAGCACTCTTGCTAAGGTAGATGACGTTGGCAGATGATTTGTGTGTATATGTGAGTGTGGAATTCAACCCCAAAAGCATTTGTTAAGCATTTACTTTGTGCAAGATACTGTGCTAGCCAGTAGTGATACCAAAACAAAAACAAAACAACTCCTGCCCTCACAGAGCTTACATTCTAGGAGAGTGGGGGAAATAAGAGTAGATACAAAGGTAAATGAATACAAAGTAATTTCAGGAAAGAGAGCACTTTCACCTGGGGTTATCAGGAGAGGTTTCCATAGGTGGAGGCATCTGAGCCCAAGTTTTGAAGCAAGCTAGGGATTCTGGGATAGGGCTGGATGAGGTTGGAGTCCATTCCAAGGATGAGAGAGGGCTTGAGCAAAGGCTAGAGAATGGAAATGGCACATCAAGACCTGGGAATAGCTGGCCAGTTTAGCTAGAATACAGATTCCACGAAAAGTAATAATATGAAATGGATCTGGAAATGTAAGATGGCACATGAATTATGAAAGGCCTTAAATGCCAGGCTGAGGAATTTGTATTTTGGCCTAGAAATTACTAGGTCATAGCAGACAAACACAGCTAGAGATGTGACCTTAGAGATTTGCTAGAGACAAGTCCAGATGGTCAACTGGCAAATAACAACCACTTCTCAAGTCCATAGCGAGGCAATGGGATCCTCTCTCCATGATGGTCAACCAAGTTAAGTCAAGAAGCATTCACTGTGATAAGTGTGGAGGATACAAAAAACAAACAAACAAACAAAGAAAATAAACAGTCCCTGATCTTAAGGAGATCACAATCTAATGGAGGAGACAACTATGTAGGAACAAAGTATGGATAGGATAAATTGGAGATAACTTAGGGAAAGCTCTAGCATGAAGGGAAATGGGAAAGACTTTCTGGTAGAAGGTGAGATTTTTATTGAGACCTAAAGGTCTTATGGAAGCAGGAGATAGAGATGAGGAGGAAGAGAATCTCAGGCATGGGAGACAGCCAATGGAAATGCCTAGTGCCAAGAGATGCAGTGTCTTATTCAAGAAACAGCAAAGAGGCCAGTGTGGAGTATGTGATGGGAGGGAGCCAAGTCATGAGGAGCTTTGACTGCCAAGCAGAGAATTTTATATTTAATCCTAGAGGCAAAAGGAAGCCACTGGGATTTACCTAATTGGGGGGTGGGGAAAGGAGGATATGGTCAGACCTGTGCTTTAGGAAAATGAATTTGACAGCTAAATGGAGGATGGACTAGAATGGGAAGAGACTTGAAGGCTACTGCAATAATCAAAGTATGAGGTGTACCAGGTAGCAATGTTAGAGGAGAAAAGAGGGCACATACAAAAGATGTTGTGAAGGTACAATTGACAAGACTTGGCATGTGTAGGGTGAGAGAGAGTGAGGAGTCATGGATAACACCCAGCATACAAACCCAGGTGACTGAGAGGATATGTGGCTCCATAAGGAGAGTGGTTTCTATATAACTTTGAACATATGAAAGGCAGAAAGATTGCTGAATTTTAAATTTAATAGTGCCTTAAAAACTGACAACTAAATTCAATTTAGGTATATGGGAAGAAGTCACTGTATAACTTTAAAAAAACCCCAACAACTTTTGAGCAGACCTACACTGCTCACTTTATTGTGGCATGAGTCCAGACAACTTGTCTGAGGTCCTTAAGATAAGTTTGGTTTGACTCAGGGCCAGAAACTCTGAGAAATCAACCAACCCTAAGTGCTTAGTCCCCTTTTGGGAGCTTCACTTCTTGGCAATTTTCTGAGTTTGTTTTATTCCTTTTTAAACAAGCTGCCTGTCCTATTGAGGAGCGAGTCTGGATCTCCACTTGTATTGTCCTATGTGCTACAGAGATGCCTTGGGAAAATTTTAGGTATCCTATATGTTTCATGGACTCACTGGAAATTTTTTGCATGTACCTATAGTTGAAATTCCCTGTGTTATAGTGATGCAGAAGAATGTCTACCCAGTTTGATTGCTCACCTGAAAATGAAAGAATAACTTCTATTGAACCTCAGGTCCTTTATTCCTGTTGGGAGCCATCTCGTCACCAGACTTTCCCTCAGAGGGTGAAAGCTTGATTTTGTTTTCCCTTTTCCTTATTATCTTTGGCCTTTGCAAACACTAAGACAGGTGGTAACCTATGAGAATTTTGTAAAGTGATATCAGCTTATTAAGTTGTATAACCATGAATTTGGGGTGTGTAATTCCAGGTCTACCAGCAATGGTAGGTCTTTTCTCTCATGAAAGCATGTTAATTTCCAGATTGTCCAAGAACTGTGCCTCATGGATTTTGCTGAAGCTCTTTAATACAAGGCACTGAGGAAGGTACTCAAAAGAATAATGCTTGAGCCTCCCCAAGTTATTAGAGAACTATCCACAATTGGGAATATGGATGAATGTGCCAAAAACAGCCTAGCTGATTTGCTGGGGACAATAAATGCCTAATTAGTTTGCACAAAAAAGGAGCATTTATCAAGGAATGCTGGTTCTTTGCTTCCCTCTGACCATTTGATGTTATCACAGAAATTAAATGGCAGGTGGGCTGTTAAATAGACAAGGTATTAATGAGTTGAATGAATTTTAAGGACATGCTGTGCTACTTTTCTATGAAGTATAAAGGAGTTCTCCCTGACACAATTAGAGGGCTAGCCTGCCACTGGCTGGCTAAAGATTGGCCAAGCCACCACCATGGCCTTTAAAAAGAAAGCTATCCAAGACAGTCAAGGCAGGAGGCAGCTAAGAAGAGAGTCAGCCATGGATTCAAGAGAGCCCTGATAGTCAGGAATCAAGATGTAGGGAGGAGTAGGCCCAAAGAGCCAAGCTGCCTATGGAAGACCCTACGGAGAACACTACAAGAATGAAAAAGACATGGGGGACCTGTAGTGCCAAAAGGTGTGAGCTGCTTTGGCCACATGTGACAATACTAGCAACATATTCTGTATCTCTGCCTACTCTTCCATGTATGCTGTGTGTATTTGTGGAAGAGTGCACTGCAGGTTTATGAAGGGAATGTTTTATAGCTACTGTTCTTGGAACATCATCCCAGTAAATGCTTTACTTTGGGTTAATTCTATCTGCTGGCTGACTATCAAAGCACAATGGTGGAGTTTGTGAGCTCTAGTTTAGGAAAGTACCCTAGAAGGGTACTTACTACTATTTACTAGTTACTACTAGTTGCCCTCCTAAGGACCCAATTGGAAATCTATGAATGTAGAGTTGGGAGCACAGCCCCAGAGGGAGTGCTATGGCTTAATTTATAGAGATGTTATCCTACCAATTAAATGGCCAGGGTATTTTTTTTTATAGACTTGTAATTCTATTTATGTAGCAAAGTCCCAATGAGGAAACTTCCTTTATTGCTGTAGATCAGCAGCTGTTCCACAAGTTAGAGAGCTGCCTGGGGTCCTGAGAATTTATGACTTCTCCATGGTCCCAAAGCCAGCATGTCCCCACATGCAGTAATTGAGCCTGTATCTTCCTGCCCTGAGACCAGTTCTCTGGCCACTAAATTATGCTGGCCTTCCTAAAGAAACCAAAGAGTTAACTTGATAGAAACAGACAAGATTCATCGAGAGGAACAAAAGGTCAAGAATGTCAAGAGAAATAATGAATGAGAAAAAAAAAAGAGAATAGGTCATGCCAGACTAACCTTATTTCCTTTTGTGATAGTTACTAAACTAGTAAATCAGGGGGAATGCTCTAGACACAGATGAATTTCAGCAAGGTATTCAATAGAGAAATTATTTTATTCTATTCTTGGGAAGAATGAAGAGATAGGAGACAGACAGTAGTACAATTAGATTACTGTATTTTGGAACCAGTTCAATGGCCAAACTCACAGGGTGAGTCGGCATTAAAGGTTTGATGCTAACTTGAAAGGAGGTCTCTAGAGGATCGCCCCGGGATCTGTATTTGGTCCTGTCCTGCCCAACATTTTCATCAATAATATGGATAAAGCTATAGACGGCATCCTTATCAGGTTTTCAGGGGACATAAAGCCAGGAAAGGAAAGCTGACATGCTGGATGACAGAGTCAGGACCTAAAGGGAACTCAGAAGAAGAGTAGAGAACAGTAGGCTACATCTGATAGGATGAAATTTAATAGGGATACATATAAAGTTTTACACTTGGGTTCAAAGGGTTGATTTCACAAGCATAGGATGGGGAGGAAGTATGTCTAAAAAGTAGTTTGTTGAAAAGGATTTCATGAGTCAGTGATGTGATTAGAGCCCTAAAGCTAATGTAATTTTAGGCTTCATTATCGAGGCAGCTATGTGGTGCAGTGGATACAGTGCTGGGCCTGGAGTCAGGAAGACTCATCTTCCTGAGTTCAAAGCCAGACTCTGGCACTTACTATC